TAGTGAACTGGTCTACACGTTCCCAGAGCTGTTCTTTATTTATGAAAATATACGGTGGTGATTGAAAGTTTTTGAACCTGTTACAATTCTCTAAAGTCAACAAAAAAAAAGAAACGTCCTCTCACATTCAACTGCTTTTATTTCCAGCAAATTTCTTAACATGAACATTCTGGACTTGATTAGGTGCTAAAATAAATAAATAAATAATACAAATTAAATTGTATTGGGGGTCCGATTGAACCCAATTGAAATGAATGGCAAATGCAATAAAAATTATTTAAAAAATCATTTATTTGTCAAAAACAATCAATAAATCTGGCATAAATCTGAAAATTTCCACATAGAAATGAAGGCCTGGTAGTACAGCACAAATGCAAAGTGGAACAAACATTCTCTCTCACACACACAAACAGGTGTAAATGGTGCACTTATATAGCGCTTTACACTGTGTCTCATTCATACACTCACACACAAATGGTAGCAGAGCTGCCATGCAAGGCACTAACTTGCAACCGGGAGCAACTTGTCAGTGTCTTCGGCACGTGGAGTCATGTGGGCCCGGAATTGAAACGCCAACCCTACAGTTAGTGGACAACCCAGTCTACTAGTGAACCACAGCTGTGTGACCAAACCGCTGTATGGTCTTGGTCACCGTACTGCAGCTCAGTGTCAGGGTCTTGGCAATCTTCTTATAGCCTAGGCCATCTTTATGGAGAGCAACAATTCTTTTTTTCAGATCCTCAGAGAGTTCTTTGCCATGAGGTGCCATGTTGAACTTCCAGTGACCAGTATGAGGGAGTGTGAGAGCGATGACACCAAATTTAACACACCTGCTCCCCATTCACACCTGAGACCTTGTAACACTAACAAGTCACATGACACCGGGGAGGGAAAATGGCTAATTGGGCCCAATTTGGACATTTTCACTTAGGGGTGTACTCACTTTTGTTTCCAGCGGTTTAGACATTAATGGCTGTGTGTTGAGTTATTTTGAGGGGACAGCAAATTTACACTGTTACACAAGCTGTACACTCACTACTTTACATTGTAGCAAAGTGTCACATGAAAGGATATAATCAAATATTTACAAAATGTGAAGGGTGTACTCACTTTTGTGAGATACTGTACACACACACACACACACATATATATATATATATATATATATATATATATATATATATATATATATATGTACACACACATACATACATACACACACACACACACATACATAATTAAAAAAAAAAATTATTATTATATGTATATATATGTACACACACATACATACACACACACACACACATAATTTAAAAAAAATATATTATTATGTTCCAAAGACAATGATTTCTTACATTTGGATTAAATATGTGACTAAAATCTGTCTCTTGTCTTTAGTGGCAACTTATGTGGCATTTTTGCAAATTTATGTGGCGTTATTACAAAAATAGACACTTCAAAACATGTCAAACAACAACAAGAAATTCAAATCTTTGACAAAAAAACTTATTTTAATGTATATTTTAAGTCTAAAATATGTCAGAAAATGTGTGATACCAGCTGTTGGCCATATTCAGAAAGAATGAATTCATGTCTATGGCACTCTGCTGGAAATATATGATCATAAATGTTTTTTTCTAAAGCTGTAATTCCTACAGGTTTTTTCTCTAACCAACAGATGGCAGTATTCTGCCCCTAACACCCAGATCTATATCTAGAAACAAAACAAATTGAATGTCGTCATTAAAGTGTTTTTTTCATAAAAATGTAATATTTCATAAGTAAATTAATGGTGTAATTGAGTAATTTTGCAACAAATAAAAAAGTAAAAAAAGTACCACATATCCCCCAAATCACAGCATAAAAGTATAGTTGAGAAGTTAAAAAAAGATATATAATTTGTATAATTAAAAATGAATATTTTTATACAATCGCTCTTTAACTGTGTGGGGTCATAACAACCCCCAACACCATGAGTGGGATTTGAATTAAGGGGAAGAGAAGGGTTAAATAAAACAGGGCGCTCACTCACACCTGATTATCATCCCATTGATTGAACACACCTGACTCTAATTTCACCTTCAAATTAACTGCTAATCCTAGAGGTTCACATACATTTGCCACTCACAGATATGTAATATTGGATCATTTTCCTCAGCAAGTAAATGGCCAAGTTTTAGTCTCATTTGCTTAATTGGTTTCTCCTTGTCTACTTTTAGGACTTCTGTGAAAGTCTGATGATATTTTATTTCATATTTATGCAGAAATCCAAACTATTCTAAAGGGTTCGCAAACTTTCAAGCACCATTTTATGTAATTACATGAGATGCTTTTATCAACTGTGTGAAATATTTAAGAAAACGACCAAGTTTATTACAGCTGCATTTGTGAGGGACTCGTTTTTTAGTCCTTGGACTCCAGCCCCATGTGTCTACGCTCTCACAATACATTTTAATTCGCTTACTTCTCTCTCTTTCTATATGAGTGATTGTTAAAAACACATGAAACATGATTAGATGAGCAAAATCCGCACACAATGGAGCACAGCCTGATGACAGTATGAACATAGCTTTTATCAACTTGTCAGAGTGCCCAACGATTTAATTAGGACATGACATCTGATGGCGAAATATAAGCACTTTGTTGGAGCTTTGTTTGGTATTGTTTAGTATTGTTGGAGGTTTTTTGTGAAGTGACAGCAGTGTGTTTTGTAGTCACAGGAAAGAAACTGTTGCAGAATCTAGTATGTATTCTACAGTACTTTCTGCCAGATGGCAGGAGGGAGTAAAGTCCATGATAGGGCTGGGAGGGGACATGCTTAGTGCCGGTGGCCTAGGGGACGCCATGTGATACACTGCACAGAAAGTAACCATAGCTCAAGAGACCCTGGAGCTGTAAGGTGCTATGGTGGGAGGATATGAAAAAGTCAATGCAGCATTACAGGTTTCTGTCTGCTCACAGCTTCATATTTGTATAGACCATGTTTCTATGTTTGTTCTTGAAAAAGTATGTGACCCTGCTTTAAAAAAACTTCTGTTATGTGTAGCACTCAGTAGTTCTGTTTTTATGTCATATGAATCTTGTACATTTTTTGTTTCCTTGTTATGGTATACCGTAATACTGCCTACTGCCACATTGTTAATTTAAACTATAAGAACACATTGGTCATTGTTCCCCTTTTCCCTCTGACTTTGCAGTGCTATGAACATGGAGCGCTTCGAAAAGGGGCCTAGAGAGATCCTCAACCCAGAGATCCAAAAGGTTCGAGTCACACCTGTCACTCATTACTCTTCCTGACCATCACCTACTGTAGGAGCGCCATTCTGTATGCAGGTCTTCTGCGTAAAAGGGGAATATGACAAATTGTTTCATTTGCACTGCACTGAAATTTCTACATAATTAGTTTCAATTTCTCTTTCTAATTTCCCACAGGACCTTCTGGTACTGGAAGAGCAAGAGGTAAGTTTGGATTCTCTAAATCTATGTTTGAGACAGATAGCAAAATAATGCTACTGACTATACATTTAACTTAAATCACATTTGTCTGTTTTTGTAGGGCAGCGTAAACTTTAAATTTGGAGTCCTCTATGCCAAAGATGGCCAGTTGACCGATGATGAAATGTTTAGTAACGGTAAACACAGCATTTACAACCCTGATACCTCGATATAATTTGATATAATTCCATTATGCAAGATTAACACATCGCCAATTATGCTTGTCCTTGAAATATTGCTAATGCATCTCATTTTAGTCTTTTCAAACTTTTTTAGAGACAGGAAGTGAGAACTTTGACAAGTTTTTGAATCTGCTCGGTGATACAATTTGCCTGCAAGGCTGGGCTGGTTATAGAGGCGGCCTGGACACTAAAAGTAACTCTACCCATCAACAAATATACAGTATATGCATGCCCATTCTCGTATATCAATTTCATAGACATCCCTGAATGCAGATACTGACGGGTATTTTTTTAATGTCTCACAGTTAATTACGCTTTCTCTTCCTTGCTAGATGACACTACAGGAATACACTCCATCTATACAGTATATCAGGGTCATGAGCTCATGTTCCATGTATCCACTATGTTACCTTACTCTAAAGAGAATAAGCAGCAGGTGGGTCTTATTACAATTACAACTTTGTATAAAGAATAAAACACTTTGGGGCACTCTGTTGTAGGACAGTAAGCACCGAAAGTGTGATGTGATGCAGGCTGATACAGAGAGGACTTACTATTACCACAACAAAGCTAATTACTTTCTGATAACAGCGTGTCACAAAAGTGTTTTTTCTCTCTTATATGTCTCTAAACAGCAGTTTATGACACCAATGAACTCACATTTCACAATTTATTTATTTACAGTTATGTTTAATGTTGTAGCACATCCATGAAACAAGTCATCACTTCACTTGTAACAGCTATAAAAGCCTTACTGACAAAGCACTGACACTGGAGACTCCTTCCTTAAATGTTTTATTAAATGTGTCCTTACAGAAAGCTTCACCATCAACAGTTATCTTGGTTAGATAACAGCATGTTTTTTTATTGGTTTATTATCAGTCTTTGATTATCTGAAACAATTGAATTGTTGCCCTGTGAATGAGTTGTTACCATAGCAATGATAATGTGTTAAAACAAGCGGATTAATATCAACATTTGGGTTCTATACAAATCTGCTATTATAGAAAATAAATCAACACCTTCTGACCAATCAGAGTGGAGAATTCAACGGTGCTACTGCTTAGTGGTTAGCACGTCTGCCTCTCACCTTCGAGGTTGGGGGTTCGAATCCTGCTTCTGCCCTGTGTCTGCAGTGTTTGCGTTATCTCCAAGCGCTTCGAGGGTTTCCAGTTCGATTGTGTCTGGCGATGGGTTGTCACCCCGTCCAGGGTGTCCCCTGCCTTGTGCTGCGAGTGATAGGCTCCATGCTACCCTGCGATCCTGTGTAGGATATGCGGTATGGATAATGGATCGATGGATTATTGATGTTGTTGTAAATTGGGGGGCATGGTGTCTTAGTGGTTAGCACGTTTGTCTCGCACATCCAGGGTTGGGGTTTGATTCCCACCTTGTCCCTGTGCTTCGGGGATTTCCTCCACCAGTCCAAAAACATTCAATGGAGGCTGATTGGAATTTCCAAATTGTCCATAGTGTGAATGGGTGTGTGTGTGTGTGTGTGTGATTGTGACGAGTGACGGATTGGCACTCCTTCCAGGGTGTCCTCGTGCCCTAAGTCCCCTGGGTAGGCTCCAGGCTCCCATCGTCCCTGCATAGGATAAGGGGTACAGAAATGGATGGATGATGTTGGAAATTATTGGCTGGCACTGGGACATTTTACTACTTGGGTAGAGGTTAGCAAATGCATGGCAGTTGTGACTGTGTCTGTGGTCATTCACAGTGTTTATTGGAAGTAAAAAATGGTTTTGGTCACTGGTTAAAATTCAGGTAGGACAGTTACTTGTCTTGTTTGTGTCAGTTCAGATACATTACATCGTATGGTCAGTCAAAGCACATACCCTGTATGACCTGAATGTGCATTTAAAAAGACACAGAGCATTTATTGTGGCAATAGATGAGTCTGTCTGTAAGAGAGTAAATTAAATGGGTTATAAGGCATGCATTTCTGCTGCTGTTATTCTGACTTTCTTCAGCCCATCTCTGTGTACTTTTCTCTAGGGACATTTTGTATTCTCTGTTAGACATTGTACCATTACTCAACTATCAGCAATTCATCTCCTTTTGTGCTCTCCGAGCATCACCTTCTTCCCTCCCTCTCTCTTACTAATCCTGTACTTTGTACATAAATTAAAGTAGGGACAATATGTCTTTCCGCTGTCTGTGTAAGTGTGAGTCATGCACAGTCACAGCTGAGCCAAATCAACTGAAGTTTCAACTGAAGATAAAAAAAAACCCTAGGTAGCAAGCAGTATTGTTTGTTATTGTGCTTGGCTTAATAAGACAGTAGTATGGTTAAATGTTTTCTGAATTGAAATAGATATTAGCTAAACACTCCCTCTTACCTTTATAGGCATTTTAAGTGAATTACAAACCTCAGTTTCATACAGTGATGTTCTCACTTACCCTTGCATAATGCCACAAATGAAGAAAATCTACAATTGAATCAATTTCGCGGACAGCATGCATGTGACCAAGGACATGCTAGGTATTTCAAATAATACAGATTCAGTACTCAATACTACTCATACACAGGATTTTTTTTTCTATACTCCAGTTCTTCATGGTTTCTCTCAGTGCTCGTTCAGATCAGGTTCCTAACTGAACCACAAAATGATCCCCACCTACTGACTGGAAGATCACATTACCAGCGATGTCTTTGTATGCAGCAGGGGCCATCATCTGGTCAGGAGAATCAGGTGTCTTTTAGCAGGGAAATCACTAAACTGTGCTAAAAGGTGGCCCTGTAGGACTGAAACCGATCATCTCTGATATACATCGACATTGTGGAAGAGCAGGATCAAAACAACTAGGCTAAACGACAAGCTTGTAAACATATTGTTGTTATCCTTCCTTACATGATAAATTGCTAGATATAGGGATGCATGCCTTACAAAATAAAATGTATATACTATTTATAATATATATACAAAACAGATAATGAAGATATTGCTATATATTGTGGATAACTGATTGATCATAGTGGACTTGTTTCAAGTTTCAAATAAGAAGTGTCAGATCGTTTCAGGTCATTGAATACCTCAGGCATCACAGAACTTTGCAGATTACAGTAACAGTTAAAAACATGAAATGCCACGTATCATTTTAGATTCCGATTTTAACACATGGTTGATCACCTTAAAATTTTCGAAAACATCTGTTAGCTTTGTCCCGCGCTTTGCCTGCCGAACACGTCACTTTTTTCACCTTTTCTTTACTGTTGATAATAGCAACTGGTTATCAGTTTCAGTTTTTCCTTCATGCCGTATTCTCTTTCTGTTTAACAGATCAGACATGAGGTTGAGTATGAGTACAGCTCTTGAGCTACTTGGAGATTTCAGAGCTTTCAGAGTTCACAACAGCAGGCTTTTGAAAGCACCTGTGCTTGCTCAAGGCCTTACATCCCCTTTACTGAGCACCACTTGAACTCTTACTGTCAGTCTGCATTTACCAATGACGACTGTGAAAAGAGCACATACTATATACACACACACACACACACACACACACACGCACTCAAATTATCAAACTTTATTGCAGTAAAGGTGGGCACATCCAATAATTACTGGGAATATTTTAGATTTCATACACTGTTTATCCCTATATACTGCATAATGAACTACTAGCACTGTACGGTGTGCTGGCATTTGGCAAATGTAATTATTGTGCATTATATATGTTGTCTACAGGTTACCCTTTTAAAACCTGTCCATTGCGGTTTGATTATTATATGATAATATTATAATATTTTCTTTGTTTCTGACAACATTACCATTAAACACACCATAGTCACTTGTGTACTTTACAAACCATTCAAACATTACAGTAAAATTACATAAAAAAATAGATATAACAGTATATTTCACCATCTTTTTGTGATTTGTGGAACTCACACTGCTGTCATATATCAGAGTTTTCAAAAAGTTATGAATTTGTGGTCCAAAACAGTGACAGTGTGGACTAGGTATAAATGAAGAGAATCGGATATGCAGAGGGTTCAGACAAGTTCTCAGACCTTTTGTTCAGTACTCTGTGGCACCTTTGGCAGTCATTATAGCTTTGAGTTTTCATGGGTATGTCTCTGCTAACTCAGCACACCTGCATTTGGGCAGTTTCTCCCATTTTCCTGGCAGATCTTCTCAAGCTCAATCAGATGGGATGGGGAGCATCTGTGAATTGCCATATTCAGGTCTTTCCACAGATGTTCTATAGTGTTCGGGTCTGAGCTTTGGCTAGACCACTCATGGACATTCAAATACATGTCCCTAAAGCCACACCAGTGTTGTTTTGGTGAACTGTTGCCCCAGTCTGAGGTCGTGTACATTCTGGAGCAGTTTTGCATCAAGGACCTTTGTGTATTTTTCTGCGTCCATCCTTTTCTCTATTCTGAAAATGCGTTGAAAATAAGGCTTACCCCTCAGTCTTCCTCCTTATATAAATGACTTTAGAAGCTTTGTCCTTTTAAGTTAGAATAATTAATTTAGATAACCAAATTCTCTTACTATATACAGTCATTATGCTTACTATATGTAAGGATAAAGCAAATAACAGATTTATCTTCACTTTTCCTCTGTCAGCCTTTCTTGCCTCTGCTTCATTTACTCTAAAGAAAAACTAGCCCATGTGGGTTATCACGGAGCATATACGGTGCTGGATAGTCTAAATGAACACACTGGCAACCAGATCAGTTCAAAGATTTATTCGTAGAATAACACGCTTTTATAGGTACAAATAACCGTGCATAGGCGTACTGCTGTGTGGAAATAATATGGCAGTTGAACTGACTGTCCACATACATGAAAAACATCTTAGGCAATACAAGAATGTACAGCTTTCTTGAACATATATGGTCTGATTGTATGGTTCGCCTAACACCGAAAAAAGAAAGTTCCTATTGTGACATGTCAAACTGGCAAGTACACATCAGTCAGATTCTGTAAAGTTCATGAGACAAAAATCAAACTATAACCTAAAAATACTTATACATATCTGAGGGAATAAAGAATAGAACATTTCCCAACACTATATTTGTGCAGTCAGGAGCACAAATGGTAAAGCATAAGGGACACAATACAGTGAATTAATTAAATGTTTTAATATTAATGAATTTACTCTCTGGCCGTGTAGGTGGAGAGAAAGAGACATATCGGGAATGACATCGTCACCATCGTATTCCAGGAAGGAGATGATGCCTCACCATCTTTCAAGCCCTCCATGATCCGATCTCATTTCACACGTATCCTTTTACAAAAGTAACTAATCTAGACAAATTGATTAATTTAAAAGGGGGCAGTTAAACGTAATGTTTCTCTATATTATAAAGGTCGTTCATGTATCCTTAACTCCACTTCCAGATATTTTTGCCTTAGTTAGATACAACAATCAGAATGACAGCTATAGGTATGTATTTGTATGAGTTATTATATTTTAAATATGTTTGGTCAGAGGCATTTTTGAAAATTCATTTTGAAAAAAAAAGAAGGAAGAAGTTGCATTGTTATTGTATTAAAAATCTCACACATATATCATATTCCTGCACATGCAGGGTAACAAATCACATTTAACTCTCATACATCAAAGAGGACAGATCATACATGGCTTCCTCTTTTACACATTTAACAAATTTAACAAATGCGCTGTTATGAATCACTCTTTATAAAATCGCAGCCATGGAGAGTATTGGACACAGTTTTCTGTAAGAGGTGCCCCAAACTAAGTTTTAAAAAATGAAGTTTAAGAAAAAAATATAATGTCTTTTAGTACTACTGCAGTAATACTTTTAGTTTAAATTATTTAAAAATGAAATCTCAAATGAAAGTTTGTCTGCATAGAACATAATATGAACAGTTAACAGTTAGGTAAACATCACCAGCACAGACAACCCCATGTGGTGTTGTGACCCCAAGATTGAGGAACCGTGGTGTAATGAATATGATATAATGTAATATTAATATTTTGCAGGTTGAAGATTTTCTCAGAAGAGAGCGTGCCGTTGTTCGGACCACCCCTTCCCACACCGCCAGTATTTACAGACCACCAGGAGTTCAGGGACTTTTTACTAGTCAAATGTTAGCCTACTCTTAAATATTATTATTATCTCCATTTTTAAATATATATGTTTTTTGTTTGAATATATAGCATTAACAAGACATGACAGCAAAGCATATTTAATTTTTCAGGATGGAGGTTTCCTTTTAATATCTGTCATGTCTGTCTCTCGGTATTTGTGTTTCTCTCTCGCTCACACTTACCCTTCATCTCTCAGTAATAAATGGAGAGAAAGCCACTCTTGAAACTCCCACGTTTGCGCAGAAACGTCAGCGGACTCTTGACATGCTGATTAGATCTCTGTATCAAGACCTCATGCCAGACCTGCACAAGGTACTTGTGCTAATTATCAGCT